CCCCCCGCCGCCGCACGGGCCGGCTCTCCGCTCGCACCCGCCTCGCTTAAACAAGCGGCGGGGAGAGCGGCGACGCGCAAGCTGGTTGCACTGGTCAATGGGAGCGGGGAGGGCGCGGGGCTCCCCTAATCCGATTACAAAACATAACAGCCTTTCAGAGGGGGCGAGGGGAGGAGGAGGAGGAGGAGGAGGGAGGTCCGTTTCACACCCGACCCTTACGTCTGGGGGTCTCGCAATGATCTCACTGGAGGGGCTTTTCTTCCCGTCGCAGTGGGTTGCTTTTGAACCGTGCTGCGAGGAGATCAAAAAAGGGGGAAAGGGGCTGCCTGGGAAAGAGGAGGAGAGGGTTGGGAAGGAGGCGAGGGGGGGCCCCCCGGCTGGGATGCCAGCCCTCGTGCCGCTTTCGCCCTCTTGCATCCCACCTCCACGCCGCGGCACCGTGGAGCGGTGCGTGCCGTGGGCGCGTGGGCCGCGTCCTGCCCTGCGACCGGAGCGGGGCTGGGGGCTTCGTGCGGAGCGGGGACGGCAGGAACGGAGCCGCCTGGCCCCTTTTCCTGCGGTTTAGGCATGGAAAATGAGCGGCACCAAAGCGTTTCGCGAACGCACAGTTTTTCATAATGAACAGTGGAAACTGGAAAAGCTGCAGCGACGGTTTGAGAGCGAAGGGGGAAGTTTTGAATCTCTGCCATGGAGTGATGCTTCAGACTCCGAATTTTCTCTAATTTGATTTAATTCCTTCTAGAAAGGCTAAAGAGCCCGGTTTAAAAGCAATGTTTTACGGGCAGCCTGCAACCAAATGATTTTTATTAATTTTTTTGCCTCCTTGATGCAATCATTTAAAAAAACCCTACAAGTTTGACAGCAGCCGGTGTTAAAAACCCGATGGTCCTGAATGTGGCCACTTTGGGGAGCAAACCGCTTGCCCCCAATCTCACTGCGCTGGCCCTGAACCCCCCTGGCCCCTCCCTGGGGGCCGGTGCTGGCAGCTGGGGACACTCACGCCCCGGGGAACCCCACATGGCGAGCGCCGGAGTCTGGCACTGGAGGTGTGAAAGCGTCTGGCAGCCACCCCCGGGCTTGCCGGAGCTGGGTCCCCCCAGGCATCCTCCCACCAGGGACCCTCAGCATGGCCCCCAGCACCCCTCTGGGGGAGCCCTTTGGGGCTGTGCCCTTGCTGTGGGTGCTGCAGGACCCCCCACCTTGGCTCCACTCGATCTGCCGCATTCCCAGGGTGCTGGACCCTGCTCCCGAGCAGGAGGTTTGGGTGCTGCTGCCTGCAGCCAGGGCAGGCAGGGCGAGAGCGGGGGGCACGCAGAGATGGGTGCTGGGTGCTGCTGGGGGTCCCGGGAAGCGGAGGCACCCGGGGCTGCAGTGGCTGGGGGAGCTTCCTTCTCCCAACGGGGCTGCGTGCTGGGGGGCACTTTGCTGTTTTGAGGAGGAGGGGGCTTTTTCTTGGCCACAGGCCCCCGCGCAAGGCGCGGGGACCTGTGCCGGGGACCCCAGTGTCACCCTGGTCTTGCCCCCCCGGTGCTGGCTGCTCGGGGCTGGCGCACCCCCCGGGGGGCCAGGGTC